CCGTCGCTCACGGTCGAGTTGCCCGTCGCGAATACGACGTCTCCGATACTTTCACGTAGATATACCCAGATACAATGCAGTTCACCTCGCACAACCGTCTGTCTGTGGCCTGGGGGGGCTCCCAAAATCCCCGCGGGGAGGTCCATGGATGGGGTCGCGGTGGCGGTAGGCAGCACAACCAATCCCGATCCTGCGGAGGTGAGGGCGGTGCGTCTCCTGTCCTCCACTGGTATCTCCAAAAACGAAGAGGGGGTTTGCGGCTGCCCCCTCCCCGAACCCAGTGAAAATATGATATGTGCGGGCCCGGCTCTCCTCAGGCGGCGGCGGCGAAACTATTGCCCATTCACAAGGCAATCGGCATCTGGTCCAGAAGCCCTCCCCCACCTCTCCCCGACTGCATGCCTTCGGGCTGAACTGGTCACTCATAGTATATATGGTGTGTTCGACCCTGCTAGGACACCCCCACGCGCGACGGACTGATGTCTCTGGTTCCTGTTGGCAACGGGGACAAATGACTGATAGTGTTTGTGTGCAGCGGGCTTGCCGGCGGGTTCGGGGCCACGGGGCCCCGGCGGCAGCAGCTGATAATATGCCCGAGAGCCTCCGCCCCCCAAGTGATTGCCCCAAATGGTCCGAGAGCTTGCGGAAGGAATAATAACGCGCCCCATTCTCCATGCCCGAGCATTCGAAGTCCCGAGACGCCGCCTCCCAGAGCCCCTTCTAGATGGCCCCCCGGAACTCCGCGAAGAAAGCCTCCCGGATGTCCACTGAAGGATGCCCCGTGAGACTCTCGGTCTTGACGTCCCAGCTGCTGCTCTGGTCGGGGATGCCCCATGAAGTTAGGGAATCAGCATGCCCTGGGACATGGCGACATCCGCGCGCAATTGGCATGGCCTGAAACTCATCAATCATGAAAGACCCGGTGCGCTCGATGCCGCCTCGGAGAGCCGGCTCTGACAGGCTTGCTGCAATCCGCACTCGCAAAGTACTCGCTGACAAACGAGAAGCAGGATCCCGATCAGCAGCACACAAGTCGAACCACGGTGGCGGCGCAGCGGCCCGTGAGGCGCGGGGCGCTGGCTTTAGCCAGCTGCCTGCGCACTCGGGCCAACTGGCCCCCCCCAGACTCGGTGCAGCTGGTGAGTGTAGTGTCCTGCCGGTAAGGCCCCCTGCCGCTGCGGGCTCGCAGTGAGCTGGTACCTCCGAAGGGCACGTGCGAAACCCGTGGTCTTCCTGGGCATGGGCCGACGCTTGCTAGCGCGATTGGTTCTGGCGGCCCGCCCGCGCCGTCGCCCGCCACAGACGTCGTCGCCGAGGTAAGCGGCTTGAGAAACCCACTTCAGCCTAATCCGAGCCTGCCGAGTCGGCGGACAACCTCACGAGCATCCTGCACATGACAGCAAAACACAACACCTCTTAGGTGATATAGCCAGGCCTGCCTCGGTCATGCTCGTGCACGTCGTGGCCAAACATTCGACTGACTGCTTCTTAATGGAGGCGCGTGGTCCGAAGCACGTTTGACTGAGGTCATCGGGTCGCAGCCTGCGTGACACGTTGACGTTTGCTTTGGAAATATTATGCATGATCGAATGTGTGGCGCTCTTGCCAAACCTCGTGCATGCTCGGGGCCCCATGCGCGACAGGGCGCGTTGGACAGAAGAGGGGCGCGTAGCATCCATCTTGCCGCGCGCAGCGCGAGGCCACGCACAGCTGGAGCTCCAGCCCCAGCACCACTGGAAGGAGGTGGAGGCGAAGTTGAACCATCCCACACCGTTGCAAAAGGACGCAACGTCGACGAGTCCGTGCCCGCGCGCCGCGCCAAGGCGCGCGACGAGCTCCTCGCCGACTGCTTTGAGAAAAACGTTGCGAACTGATGCATTGCCTCGACCACCCGCGTCCCGGTGCGCTTCGCACTGGTCCGTCTAACTCCGAACATGTTCTTCTCTGGCCTGGCCACCTGCCCTCGCGAAATCAAAATAATCGGCCAATAACTGGACTTCCGCTGCGTTCTTCTCTGTAGTGCGGCGCCGATGGCTAGGAGGATCTGACGTGTCCACGCTCGATACTGTTCGCAGAGTGCAAGACTGGAGACGAGCTCACTGATCGCCTACTGCAAAGCCGATCCACACCCATAACTGAGAAAGGTCGCCTGCGCCTCAAGGCACGACGTAAATCTTCAGCTTCGAGAGGTGGGAGGGGAGCACACTGAATACGATCGCGTAGATCATGAAATCGCTCGCCGAGGTGATCCAAATCCCCGTCTGCTGGGCCCCAACAAGTTTGCCGCTGCTCCGTCTTCACCTCCAGTATTTCTTTGGGGTGCTCAAGCGTGTGTTGCCCAGCCTGAAACTCTTCTGGAATTGTTGGCGACTGACGCATGTTGCGACACAGCGGCTTGACCGCGGACGCCGTCTCACTCCAACCGCGAAACTGAAACATCGATGTGTGAATATTTCGCTGTTCGCTTCTTTCGGCGACACCCTGAACAAATCCGACTCCCGCGGCGAGGGCATCGCCGCTCTGCTGCCCAAGAGAAAACAACAAATTCTTTTACTCAGACCACGTGAAATAATCGCGACCTCATAATAGGTTCGGGCAGTCCCCGGGGATCTTCGCCAACAAGCCGTGAACAGAGACCTCCCCATGCTCGGCACCGATGCCAGGGTCTTTTGCGCCGCCGGTAACTCCGCGGAACCGTCGTGAGCCGAGCCCACCAACCACTGACTTTGCCCGGCAGGACTGCCGCGCGTTGTGGGGTCGGCTGCTGGACCGAACACATATGGAACTGCGGAGCGGTCCCTCGAGAGAGGGCGGGTGCTGGAAGCTGGCGGCGAGCGCACACTGCCTTTTCCACCGCGCGCGCCCAACAACAATAGAGCGCGCCGATGCGCGGTGGAACATGGGCCCCAAGCCGAAAAGCCACGGACGACGCAACAGCGGCAGCAGGAGGGCACATCGAGTTCGCAGAGAACCCGGCAATTCTCCTGGCGGCCAACCACGTTTCGGCTAGAATGCAAAATTCGACTTCGGGGGCCGACCCCGAGCTCACAGACGACTGAGACTGAGACGGCTCCTCCTGGGTTTCCGTCGGGGGGCGCCGCTGGGGCTGGGGTCGCGATGGTGTCCACAGTTTCGACTGAGACATCGGGCGCATGAGAAGGAACGGCGGGCGGCGCTGCACGCAAACCGTCTCTCGCTCGACCTCGCTCTGTCCGTCATCCGCCGCCACTGTTGAGTTTTCACAAGGGTGCCTGGCGTGCTGGATCTTTTCGGTTCTGTTCTTCAAGAAAAAAAGAACTCTCCCCTAGGGTTCCCGCCCGCCCCCCCCGGCCCCGCGGAAAGGGACCATAAACGACCGCAAAGGCCGCACAGAGGACCTCAACGTCTTGGCATTTGAAGGACTTTGGCATTTGCTTCCCTTCGGCCTTCCGACGGCCAGAGACGGCCAAAGAGCCACCAAAGATCGCCCCAAGATCGCCCAAGAGGCCTCCAAGATGGTCCAAGAGCGGCCTAAGAGGCCCACGAGACCGCATCAGGAGGGCCCTCAGACGGCCCTAGAGGCCTCCAAGGCGCCCAAGATGGCGTTCAAGACAGCCCTGGAGCACCCCGGGAAGGTTCGAAGTCGGCCCAGAGAGGCCCCACGACGGCTTCCGACGGCGTCAGACGGGCCAGGAGCCCACCAAGACCGCCCAGGATGGCTCGATGGACGGCCTCAGAGCGACGGCCCCAGAGGCCTCCAAGAGGGCCTCCAGGAAGGCCCGAGGAGGCCAACAGCTTTGAGGGGGCAACAGTTACGTTGACTCGCGGCGTTGCAATCCCAGGAATGGCGTTCTGGCACGATTCCAGATCGTCAAGACGCAACAATCAGGCTGATCCGTGGCGTTGGGAAAATGTGTTGGCATGCTTCACGGTCTTCAAACGGTTGTCTTCCAACGAGGTAGTTTCCTCTGTGGAAAAGAACCGATGTGGGGGCCTATGAAGAGGGAGCTTGGAAGGAGGGTTGATTTCAACATCGCTGATGATTATTGGGTTTACATTGGTCCTCCTCCTCCTCCTCCTCCTCCTCCTCCTCCTCATCAGCATCATCATCAGCATCATCATCAGCATCAGCATCCTCATCCTGATCCTGATCCTGATCCTGATCCTGATCCTGATCCTGATCCTCATCCTCATAATCATTTTCATTATCATCCTCATCCTCATCGTCATCCTCATCCTCATCCTCATCCTCCTCCTCCTCCTCATCAGCATCATCAGCATCATCATCAGCATCAGCATCCTCATCCTCATCCTGATCCTGATCCTGATCCTGATCCTCATCCTGATCCTCATCCTCATAATCATTTTCATCCTCATCCTCATCCTCATCGTCATCCTCAACCTCATCCTCATCCTCCTCATCCTCCTCATCCTCCTCAGCATCATCAGCATCATCAGCATCATCAGCATCATCAGCATCATCAGCATCATCATCATCATCATCATCATCATCATCATCATCATCATCATCATCATCATCATCATCGGTCTCCGCCCCCGTTCCTCCCGTACCAATCCTGGCTGCACGGAGAAAAGACGAGGAAGGAGAGACACAGACATCCGATGACTTGTCCTTTTGCGCCATACGAGGCCCCCACATAAGCCCCGACCTTCTCCCTGGTGTTGTAGGCGCGAGGATGCCGTAACAGGGGATGGGGAGTTGTCTTCCGCAGGGTCTGGCGGGCCGCAGCACTTCACAGTGTGCCACCCCAGCGGGGAATACAAAAGCATGCCGTACGTTTCAGTTGATCATCCCATGGCCCAGAGAGCCGTTCCATGCCCTCCTGAGTCGTTTGCCGATGGTCCCGGGGCCCGGCGAGGGCCCCCAGAGGCCAGCAATAACGAAAAACCTCCGCATCTCATGTTTCGAGACGCTGGGGCTCTGGCATTCGATCGCACCGGGAGGAGGACGAAGGAGAGGTCTCGAGCAGTAGAGGGTGTCGGCGAGCGCGCCGGCGGGCCTGCTGGACAACGCCGGCCGCCTGGCCGGCCGCCAGCCTGGCCTTCTCCACGGCCTCTTGCGGGCAGGGAGGCTCCTCCCGGTCTTGCCTTTCCACCCCTCTCGTCCTCTGCGTCCTTCCCCCCACCCTGTTTTTATGTCAAACCAAACTGACCCGCAGGGCTGCTGCGTTTGCCTCACACCTCCTCCTCCTCCTCCTCCTTATCCTCTTCGTCCATCGTCCTGCTCCTCCTCCTCCTCCTCCTGCTCCTCCTCCTCCTCCTCTTCTTCCTATTATTCTTCTTCTTCGTCTTCTTCTTCGTCTTCGTCTTCGTCTTCGTCTTCGTCTTCGTCTTCGTCTTCGTCTTCGTCTTCTTCGTGTCCCTCTTCCTCTTCCTCTTCCTCCTCCTCCTCCTCCTCCTCCTCCTCCTTCTCCTCCTCTTTCTCCTCCTCCTCCTCCTCCTCCTCCTCCTCCTCCTCCTCCTCCTCCCCCACGCCATGCCCCACGCCCTGCCCCATGCCCAACCCCGCGCCCAGCCCCGCGCCCAGCCCCGCGCCCAGCCCCACGCCCTGCCCCACGCCCTGCCCCACGCCCCCCGGGCGGCCGACCCGGCCCGCCAACGCAGGGTTCGGGCCCGCGTCTGGGCTAACTGTCGTGTCCCCGGGTGCCCACGGGGCGACGCTGCGTCCTCTGCCGTCTGGGGTGAACACCGGAGCATGCGCCAGCCCCCGAGCGAACGCGTCGCCAAGCGTTTCCATGGACATTCGCCGGTCCCGCCCACATGCATGCAGGGACGCCGGGTGGAGCAGCGTTCGGTCTGCCAGCGTTTTGTCCACGCGTTTCGGCGGCACCAGTCCGCGGCGCCGCCATGCAGCGCGTGCGGCCGCAGCCGAAGCAGCCGCCGCTCCCGCCGCGAACGACCAGCCGCCTGGCGGGCCCGCGGGCCTTCCGTCCTTCCTGGAAGCTTTCTGCAATCACTCCACCACCAAACGCTACGTCCCGAAAGGCACGCGGCACCTCTGGGCGCGGTGCGTAGTGCAAACGGTCGCCCAGGCCGTGCACCGCAACGCCGAGGCAGCGTGGGCGGAACTAGCGATGCCCCCGAAGTGCGTCCTTCGCCCTCGCACACGCGGAGGGCAGCAGGGCCGCCGGCGAAACCCAGACCAAAACACTCTGCCAACGCTGGCTGGACGGGGAGCGAGCCCTCCTGTGGGCCGCGGCCGCGGGGGCTCGCACAGCCAAGACTTCGGTCACCACCGACGTCGTCGCGCAGATGCGCCGGAAGCACCCTGGAAACCGCCGCGCCGCGGACTCCGCCAGCCTCCCGGCTGTCTACGCGGCTGCGGCTCTGCAAGTGGGTGGGGGCGCGGTCGGGCGGGATGTGCGGGCCTTCCGGGGTTGGTCCGCGGAGTTTGGCTGCCGGGCCAACAGGCCGCCGATCCCGACACCGAAAAACGCACTGCTCAACGCGGCCCACAGGGACGAGGTCGTCGACAAAAACTATGGAAACCGATCAACCTCTGCGCCGGCCCCGGACACAATGTCTGAGTACTTCGCAGGAGCCTCTCTTGGGCTCTGCCGAAGAAGGACAAGGGGGCTGCGCCCACTCGCCGTCGGGGAGGTGCTCCAGCGCCTCGTCGACAATGGCCTCTGCCACAAGGTAGCTGCTGCCAGGCGCGACCGACTGGCTTCCCTCCAAATAGGCGTCGCGGTCCCCGGCGGCTCCGGATCGGCGGCGCACGTTGCCCGCCAAACCTCGGAAACCGGGGGCGGTTGTCCGTGAAGCTGGACTTGTCCAGCGCCTTCAACACCCTGGACGGGCAGGCGCTGCTCCACGGGGCCCAGGAAGAGCTCCCCCGCTGGCGCCCTGGGCAGACTGGAGCAACTCCCGCCCGTATCCTCTTCCTGGGCAAGCAGACTGTCCGCTCGGAGAGCGGAGTGCAGCAAGGTGACCCCCTGGGGCCGTTGCTCTTCTCCCTGGCTCTCAAGCGGGCCGCCGAGGCCGCCCTCCGCGTACCGCGCCACGGCGCCAACGACGCCATCGATCTGAGCCTCTCCTACTTGGAAGACGGCCGCCTCGCTGGCGACCCGCCCGCTGCGGCGCGCCTCGTCCACTTGCTCTTGGCCAGCCTCGCCGAGGTGGGCATCCAACTGGGCGCTGGCCTGGGCAAGTGCGAGGTGATCCCCGCTGGCGGAGACGGCCCCGACGTCTCGCTGGACGGCTTCCCGCTGGGTTTTCGCCTCCGCGCCGACCGCACCGACCGCCGCCCCGCCGCCGCCTACCTGCCCCAGTGACGCAAAGGCACCGCGGCTGCCTGTGACGTTGCCGCCACGTCCGGGATGCGCGCCGATCTCCTCGCCGCTTAGACCGCTTCGTCAAGTGCGCCGACGGGGCGGTGCGAGGAATTCAAAAGACAGCACCAGGAAACCGCGCGGCAGCGCGCGGTGCAGGGCTCCACCTTCCTCCCCACGGCGGGCGGGGCCGCGAGGTACCGAAGGCTTCCTGGGGTCCTGGCCAAGCGAGTGGCCAACGCCACGGGGAAAGACGCCGCTGTGATAGCGGACCAACACGGCCAGCGTCTCTCGATTTCCCTGCATAGGGAGAACGCGCGGGCGGCGTTGCGGCGCCTCCAGACAGTCTGGAGGGGCGGGGGGGCCGCGGCTCGTTTGGCCGCGGCCACGGCGGCCTCCGCGCCGGACGCCGTGTGAAGCTTCCCCGGCGCTGCTTAGCGCCCGCCGCCCGCCCGCCCCACTCACCCGTGCTGTGCAGCGCGAGCGCCCCCCCTCCGCGCCCCTCCGCCGGTCGCCCCGTCCTCGGCGGGGCGGTGGATGGATCCCGCCCAGGGCAATCCCCACCAGGCTTCAGCGTGCTGGCTTCGGCCAGGCCCCCCACAACGATACCGACGCCCTTCCCGACGCCTTTCCGGACGCCCCGCCCCACGCCCTGCCCTTCGCCCAGCCCCACTCCAGCACGACGACCCCGACGACGAACCACACAACCGCCACCCACTCCAGCACGAGCGTTGCCGCCGTAGTGTCCGTAGCCTCGTTGCGGGTGACCTTTCTCTCCCGGCCCCTGTTCTGGCCCTGCTTGCGGTTGCTCCCCTCTCCCTCCTCGTCGCCCGTCCCTCCTCTCTATCGCATTCTCCTTCCTTGCTCCCTGCGTGCTGTGTCCATCTGTCCCTTCCCGCTTACCCGCCCGCCTGCTTCGTTCCGCCGGCCCTGGCCTCCCGCTTGAGCGTTTGCCTTCGTCTGCTTGCTTCTCGTTCCCTGTCTCCCTCGCCGCGCAGCACAGACTGCAGGGAGCTGGCGGCGCCGGACCAGGGGCGGCCCAGCTTTTGGGGCCAGGGTTTCAGAGGAGGCGAGAAAGACATAGTTAAACCACCTGCGCCCAAAGGGCTGGTGAGACTCTGTGGCCACTGGTGTATTCAGCGGTTGCGCGTGCACCTGACCTTCTGGCCAAGACCTCGACAGGAATCCAACCGTGGCGACGGTGACGCCCCCGGAAAATCACGAGGCGCGAAAACGTCCGAAGCCGCCACTCTGGGATCTTCCCGCCTCCTCCCTCGTCTCCTCCGCCGCATCCTGGCACAGATAAGGGGCTGGGCGCCGAGCTGCACGCTTCCGATGGGCAATGCGCCGGGCCGGGCCAAGAGAGGAGGGACCCACCTGGTGCCGTCAGGGAGCGATGGTGTCGGTCCTCCATGTCTTCCATCTTGTTTCCCATGTCAGTCAGGCTGCCGATGGGCCTTCAAAGTGCCGTACGTAGGCACGTCAAACGAAAAAAACATCGGCCTGCACGCGGGTAGCAGCTGCCCCCCAAACATGCATCATCCCCCGATGGCCCCAGGGTCCCACAGAAGCTCTAAGGTACCTTAGGAGCCTCAAAGTGCGATGAAGAATGCGACCGAAGGTGTCTTACAGCCAGATTTCTTCTCGTATGTGACTACTGTATGCCACAGTTCCTTCACCACGGCGGCGACAACGGCAACGACAACGACCCTGGGCATCCGACGGTGTGATATTGCAGCCCGCGGGTTGGCGCCGTGGGGGGCGGGGGGGGGGTAGCCTTCTAAGAAGAGGGGGGAGGGTCCAAGAAGGCAGGCGGCTGCTTGGCAGCCCTCTTGGCCTCCGGGAGGGAAGCCCTGCAGGGAGCTCCGCCCCAGAGGCCTCTCTACGAGGGCCTCTGCTCTCCAAATCAGGCCCCCCTCCCCCCCCCCCTCTCATGGGAAGGCCGCGCCCGCCCCCCGCGCCCCTCCCCTCGCGCCGCCCTCTTGCGTTAAATCGGGCGTGTCCCCCTACAGGGGGATTTTCGACGAAAACTAAAACATAGTCAAACAATGCCCCAGCATTGTCAACACATAATGCAAACATAGTCCCCAGACTATTTCCCAACCATCCTGTGGTGTTGGGTCCTCGTTTTGAAGAGACGGCGCCCCGCGTTCCTCACCTCCTCCTCCTCCCCCCCCCCATCATCATCATCATCATCATCATCATCATCATCATCATCATCATCATCATCATCATCATCATCATCATCATCATCATCATCATCATCATCATCATCACCACCGATTTCGGCACACCCCTCACACGTTTCGTGGCCCCATAGGGAGCTCCACCGAAGGCCCCAGTGGCAGGGTTCGCATGCCTCCCCACCACCCATTTCGGCACACCCCTCACACGTTTCGTGGCCCCATAGGGAGCTCCACCGAAGGCCCCAGTGGCAGGGTCGCATGCCTCCCCACCACCCATTTCGGCACACCCCTCACACGTTTCGTGGCCCCATAGGGAGCTCCACCGAAGGCCCCAGTGGCAGGGTTCGCATGCCTCCCCACCACCCATTTCGGCACACCCCTCACACGTTTCGTGGCCCCATAGGGAGCTCCACCGAAGGCCCCAGTGGCAGGGTCCGCATGCCTCCCCACCACCCATTTCGGCACACCCCTCACACGTTTCGTGGCCCCCAGCTCCACCGGGCCCCAGCAGCATCACAGGTTTCGTGGCCCCATAGGGCCCCGGTGGCACGCATGCCTCCCCACCACCCATTTCGGCACACCCCTCACACGTTTCGTGGCCCCATAGGGAGCTCCACCGAAGGCCCCAGTGGCAGGGTCCGCATGCCTCCCCACCACCCATTTCGGCACACCCCTCACACGTTTCGTGGCCCCATAGGGAGCTCCACCGAAGGCCCCAGGGTTCGCATGCCTCCCCACCACCCATTTCGGCACACCCCTCACACGTTTCGTGGCCCCATAGGGAGCTCCACCGAAGGCCCCAGTGGCTGCGTTCGCATGCCTCCCCACCACCCATTTCGGCACACCCCTCACACGTTTCGTGGCCCCATAGGGAGCTCCACCGAAGGCCCCAGTGGCTGCGTTCGCATGCCGCCCCCACACCAATTTCGGCACACCCCTCACACGTTTCGTGGCCCCACAGGGAGCTCCACCGAAGGCCCCAGTGGCTGCGTTCGCATGCCGCCCCCACACCAACTTCGGTGCACCCCTCACACGTTTCGTGGCCCCATAAGGAGCTCCACCGAAGGCCCCAGTGGCAACGTTCGCATGCCGCCCCCACACCCATTTCGGCACACCCCTCAAACGGTTCGTGGCCCCATAGGGAGATCCACCGAAGATGGTACTCACACCAGCATTACTCACAACTGCACATGGTTGGGTCCTTCGCCAGGCTAAGTTTTTTACTATTTTCCCATATCCGAAGATGGGGTTCTTGTTATTACTTGAACGCCTCCTGCTCCTTCTTCTCCCTCTTCTCCTCCTCCTCCTCCTACTCCTCCTCCTCCTCCTCCTCCTCATACCCAGACTTACTCACACTCAAATTTACTCATACCCAGACTTGCTCAGACACAAACTTACTCACACTCAGACCTACTCATACTCAGACCTACTCCTACTCAGAGTTACTCATGCTGAGACTCACTCATGCCCAGACTAACTAATACTCAGACTTGTTCCCAGACTTACTCATACTCAGACCTGCTCGTACTCAGACCTTTCCATTGTCCGATTGATTCCACACACACACCAGATTGTGAGGATGTCTCAGGCGGGGCGCTGGATTCAGCCCCCCTAAGGGGAGCCGCCAGGGGTGTTTTCACGGTCCCGTTCGCAGCAATTTTGTCGGGATGTCTCAGGCGGTTTGCTTGTTTTCTGTCCCAACATCCTTGGCTATCCGAGCAGATTGTGAGGATGGCTCAGGCGGGGCGCTGGTTTCGACATCCCTAAGGAGGGCCGCCAGGGTTTTTTCACGGTCCCGTTCGCGGCCGTTTTGTGGGGATGTCTCGTGCGGTTTGCCTGTTTTCTGTCCCAACATCCTTCGCTGTCGGAGCAGATTTGGAGGATGTCTCGAGCGAGGCGCTCATGTTCACCTTCCAGGTGGGCCAGATGTTGAAGATGTCTCGCTCGGTTTGCCTGTTTTGGTGGCCAGGCTCGTGGGCGCAGATTCTTCTCAGGATGCCGTAGGAGGCTCCAACAGGCTCCGGGAGGCCCCAGGAGACAACATGAGGTCCCAGGAGGCATCAGGAGGCCACAGAAAGACTCAAGAGGCCACAGGATGTCCCAAGAGGCTCCAGGAGGCCCCAGGAAGCTCCAGAAGGCCTCAGGAAGCCACAGGAAGCCCCAGGAGGCCACAGGAAGCGCCAGGAGGCCTCGGAAGGCAACAGGAGGCCCGAGAGCCCAGGAGGCCACAGGAAGCGCCAGGAGGCCTCGGAAGGCAACAGGAGGCCCGAGAGGCCCAAGGAGCAGGAGGCCTCAGAAGGCAATAGTGGCTCCAATCCAATGTGTTTTACGTATGCTCCTATCGATTGGGCCTCACCTGGAGCACGATTCCTTGATGTTGTACGTATGTTTCTTTAGATTGTCCTTCTCCTGTGTACACAATCCCACATGATTTACTATGTTCCTATATATTGGGCCTCTCCTATATACTGGGCCTCCCCTGTGTTACTTATGTTCCTATATATTTCAGGAGGCCTCAGGAGGTCCCAGGCTCATGTGCAGAGACGCGCTCGTACTACTGAGGCTCATGCACACTCCAATTCATTCACGGTTAGATTCATGTCCAGACGGTCACAACTGAAGCCCGTTTATCTTCGACAGCTCTTGCGCCTAGACATTCACGGCGGAAAGGTCCATGCGAATAGATGCACATATGGGAAGCTCCACGCAGTGAATACTTTGAGATTCCCCCTGTAGGGGGACAGGCCCGACTCAAGGGAAGGCCGCACCCGCCCCCCGCGCCCCTCCCCTCGCGCCGCCCTCTTGCGGTGCGCGCCGCCACACGGCGACGAGGGCGGCGGCCTTCGCGGGCTGGAAGCCGCCCGCGTGCGCCGCCGCCGCCGGCGCGGGCGTGCGCAGGCGGCTTGGCTGCCTGGCGTCGGCGGGCGCCTCCGCGGGCGGCGCCTCGGCGGCGGCGGGCGGCGCCGGAGCCGTCGCGAGGCAGCTTCGCGCCGCGGAGGCGTCGGCGTGCATGTTAGGGAAACGAAGTCTAAACACCGACGTTGTTGTCCGACCCTGCGCTGAAGTTCGCACACGAACGCGGATCCTGGTGTATACGGGATCCTGGTGTATACAGCTTTCGTTCTTCCCCCGCGAAAGCAAAGAAAAAGTATACACCAGACCACCCCGACGTCGTCCCCGACCCTCCAAAAAATCCTGGGACTGAGAAACCGCCCGCCACTGGTAATGTAGATGCTCCAGTTTCCGATATGTTTCTGGCATCGCGTGGGTCGGAGGGGCAACCGGGGCGCACAAGAGCGGCCCACGCGGTGCACTGCAGGGCCCCCCAGGCTGCACACCACGCGTCCAGAGGGCGACGGAAGCATATACAGTCGGGGCGTTGACCTGAGGAACCCTAAATAAGGAACGAGGCCCCTTGTTTCCCATAAGTTAAACTTCGATTCCCCATCGAAAACCTACGAACAACCTAAGGCAAGCTGCGAAACAATTAAGGAACACGGAGCCCCTCCCCGACGAAAAGGGTTCCTTGTTCAGCGCCCCGACTGTACACATTCTTCCCCTTCCTCCGTTCTAACCCCGCCTCCCCTGACGTCCGCCCGACAGCGCCCAGCGCTGGGGCACGGCAAGTTCATATGACAGCCTCGGCGTTGGTCTCTGACACTGGCCATCGCTCGGACGTCCATGTCCTGTGTTTTTCCGGTTTCGTGCGTTTTTTTTGTTTTTTTGTTTTTTGCCAAATGATCAAGGATGCTCCTCGATGGTCCTTGCCGAAAGGAAAATGCACACGTCCGAGCGATGCCCAGGCACCGCCTGCATCGTTCAGCCAGATCGTCAAATTCGTCCGATTATGCGCCATTGGCGGCGCTCAACTTTGCAACGCCCGCGCTGTTCCCGCGCTGGGGTCGCTGCCGCGTCAGCGCGTCGCGTTGTTCTCGTCGTTCTCGTCGTCGTCCTCTCACTCGTCGTGGCGGCGTTGAATTCCCCGACCTCGGAACCAACCTCACGCTTCAGGCAGGGAGGCCACGGCTGTCGGACCCGGCGCCAGGACGTCGCCCTGACCACCAGCTTCAGGAGCTGCGAGACCAGCCGCCTCGACGAGAGAAGCCTTTTTCCATGAACACTGGAACTCGCGTGCAGCCGCCGAAGGGGGAAGTCCTGTGGAGGAGAATCCGCTGGGATAGTAACACGTGTCGCGCGCTGCCAGCCTGCCCCACCACCGCGCCCGCGCCAACCATGCCGTGCGACCTTGCGACGGGATCGCCCAGCTTGGAGCCGAGACGGGCTCGCCGAGCTTGGCGCCCAGCAGGGGCGAAACTGCGGAGGCCAGGCAAGCTCCACTAACCCGCCCTGCGCGCGGCCAGCCCAACGATCCGAAACAGACGTGGATCCGTACTCTCAGTCAACGGCAAGGCTGCCGCAGCACCGTGGAAAACGACGGCACGGGCGGCAGCTCATTTTCGTCCCTCGAGTGGCAACGCACCTGCCAACTCATGCAACCGATGTGCCTTGACCTTAGTGGGCCCTGGAAACGACAAGGCCGTTTTTTTACCGGTTCCGTTCTGCCGTTTTTTCGCGGTTCCGACGCCGTTTTTTCACTGGTTCCGTCGCCGTTTTTTTGACCGGTTCCGGCTCCGGTTCCAATCCTAGAGCTGTTTTATTGCAGTTTCCGGTTGCCGTGTTTTTGCCGTTTCCATGTTCAAGGGACATTTTTGGGGAAACGGTGAAAACTGCCGTTTCCGGGGCCCACAAAGGCCTTGACGTGCCGGATGGTCTGGATCAAGTTCCCGGATACCTCTATGAGAGCTGAGAGGGCCTCAGATTAAGAAGCCGGGGCCGCAAGGTGGCCTCTGAGATCGTTCCGGGTTCAATTTTCCAGCGCTGGAGCGCCTTGCTTGAGGTCGCGTTTTCCAATACGCGTGCCCGGAAGCTCCCTGGGCCCTTCGGAAGCTCTCTCTCCAGGTCCTTCCAAAGTTCTTCGCCAAGCCTTTTTAACGCCCTTCTGGAGCCCTGCTATCCAGGTTTTGGACTCCAAAGTATCTCCGCTCCAAGGTCTGAGCAAGGAGCCCCGTGAATTTTTGTTCCGTCCCGATTGAACAAATCACATCGTCGGCTCGAGACCTAGGTTTTCACTGCGTAGCGCGGGTGCCAGGCGGCCATTCTAGACGTGTCACCGCCAGAGCGCTTTCGACCAGGCGAAGCCGCTGAGAAGCATCCCGCGGCTGGAAAATCTCCGAGAACTCACGAAAACGTCCGACAACCTTCCCAATCCTGCTGCGCCCCGATAACGACCCCCAAGGGTCTCGACCCATTCTCTGGGACCGGTTCATCATGCCGAGTCGTTATTTGACGGCACACCCGTCACTGCACCGACCTTGCAGACGTGCTGCAGCAGATTTTTTGGCCTGGATTTCTGTCAATGCAAAGCCCCGAAACGGCGAGCGAACAACGAAGTGAATTTCGCGTGGATTTCTTTTAGGCTTCCTTCCTGGCCAACCAAAAGTCCGCACGACATTCACCTCGAAATCCGGAACGACATTCTCCAGGACACCCCGGACCCACCCTGTGGTTTCCCGAGCGGAGTCCGCCCTGCGATGCTGGCGCCATGACACGGGCCAGGGAAGGCCCCCCCCCCCGGGTGCCGAACACGTCCCCCTACAGGCGCATTTTGGACGAGAAACGAAAAGTGATGATCAAAAAATGCTAAAAGATGCCCAAATGGTCAACAGTACTTGAAACACATCGTCCCCAGACTATTTTGGGACTAGTTTTGGACACTCCTCCTGTAGAGGGACATTCGGAGGCAACTACTGGGAGGTTTTCGCTGGAAATGTTGAGGAGGATTAAGCCCCGTTTGGGAGCTGTTACGCCGGAAAGGGCCTCGGACTTAGCAGGATTGAGCCGGATTGAGCGGGATCAAGCGGGATTGAGCCGGATTAAGCGGGATGAAGCCGGACTTCGGACCAGGGCAAAATCAGAAATTTACCTCCCAAGAGTTGCATCCGAATGTTAGGGGAACAAAAAGTGACATAAACATAAAAACTCGGAGGTCCGCGCGGATTTCTCGGATCGGCGCTGGATCCCCCTCCCTGGCGCGCGGAGCGCGCCAAGGGCGGCGCCGGAGGCGCCGCCGGGGGGCCCCAGCGCCGATCCGAGAAATCCGCGCGGACCTCAGAGTTTTTATGTTTATGTCACTTCTTGCTCCCCCAAATGTAGAATGACAGGCCCGACGTCTCCTCGGGTGCCGAACACGTCCCGGGACCTCCAGCCGGATGTCTTCTCGCGAATCGATATAGGCGGAGCAGCGCGCGGGCGGCGGAGGCCGAGGCCGGCCGCGCGCACGTGCGAGAGCTGGCACGGAAGAACGGATGCGATGCCCGGCAGAGGAAGTGTTGGAGGCCTGGAAGTGGGCAACAACACCAAGACAGGGGTTAGGAGGCAACTACTGGGAGGTTCTCGCCGGAAATATTGAGGAGGATTGAGCCCCATTTGGGAGCTGTTACGCCGGAGTGGGCCTCGGACTAAGCAGGATTAAGCCAGATTAAGCAGGATTAAACAAGATTAAGCCGGATTGAGCGGGAGTCAGCGGGATTAAGCCGGATTAAGCCAGATTTCGGACCAGGAGGCCTGGAATGACTACCTACCAGACCACCCGAACCCAACCCGAAGACACGAACTTAACCCCATTTTTTCGGGCTGGGGGGGGTACGGGGACCATGCGTTTTCTCGATGTTCCCCGGTCCCCCCCCTCCCTCTGGAAATGGAGGGCAAAGTGAAGCCTTCGGGTTGGGTTGGGGTGGTTTGGTGGGTGGTGATGGAAATAGGCACCAACACCAAGACAGGGGGGCTGCCTCCACAGGGGGTAGGTGATCCTAGACTTCGGTGCTGGTGGTAATATTTCGGTGCTGGTGGTAATATTGGTGTTGGTGTCAGCCTCTAGGCCTGCGAAACTGTCGTCCCAAACCAGCAGCTCGAGCAGGGCATCGACTGCGGAATGCCACCAGCCCTGTGGGCGACAGGTGGTCCAAGGAGGGTCTGTCCTCCTCCACGACCCCCTTCCCTTCGGGGAGGGGGAGCCCCATCCCTCCCCTCCCTGAGGTTTTTTGGGGAGGGATCGAGCAGGGAATCCCTTACAGCGAGAATTTCGTCCCAAACCAACAGTTCGAGCAGGGCATCGACTGCGGAATTGATCCCGCCCCATCGAATATTCGACAGATGCGTGGATTTGGCGAGAATTCTGAGAATGTTCCGTTGATTCGGCGAGACTGTTCATTGGGGGGAAATCAAATCTCTACTCGATCCTCTACTCGAACATTGGAGGCTGGTGTTCCAAACTCCTGGCTCACATGGGCAGCATCCGCAGCTACACCGACAGGGCGAGCCCTGCTCAAAACGAGCAGGAGCTGCTGGCCGTCTTCGCCACGACTCTCGCCCAGGGTAGCATAGCATGACATAAGCACAACAAGAAACCTTCCACAAGAAGCCCATCCCTGAGATGCCAGGACGTTCATTGATTTTTGGTTTGGGAACGTCACGCTCTCCATCGCAAAACCATCGGAACGCCAGAAACCCAGGGCACCTAGAGGCAAGCAGGGTGTTTCTTGGCAGGGGCTTCCCTTGTAGAGTTCCGCGCGGATTTCTCGGATCGGCGCTGGATCCCCCTCCCTGGCGCGCGGGGCGCACCAGGGGCGGCGCTGGAGACGCCGCCGGGGGGCTCCAGCGCCGATCCGAGAAATCCGCGCGGACCTCCGAGAGTTTATGCTCATGTCGTTGTCTGCTCCCCGATTGTCGTACCCCCTGGACCTCTCGTGGGGCACGTTCCGACCAACATTTCGAAGCGAATCCGCCGGCGGCGACGAAGGCCTCCCGGGAGGCTCGAGAAGAGAAGGGCACGAGGCGGTGGTGGTCAGGCCGATGCCGATCGCAAAGATGCCGCGCCCCGACTTTCGCAGCGGGCGGCCCCACCCCTTGGGCAGGCCGCTGCGAAGTCGGGGGGGGAGGGGCGGGGGGGAGGGGGAGGGCGGGGGGGGAGGGGGGGGGAGGAGGTGGGGGTAGAAGGGGGGAGGGGGGGGGAATGAGGGAGGAGCAGGCGGGGGGAGGGGGGGGGGGAGGGGAGGGGGGGAGGGGGGAGGGGAGGGGGGGAGGGGCGGGGGGGGGGGGAGGGGCGAGGGGGAGGGGGAGGGAGGCCCGGCACAGGCGCCCGAGGCCGGGGCCTCCCCCTGAGCCGGGGCGCTCTCGCCGCGCGCGGGCTGCCGCAGGAGCTGCGCCGCGGGAGGCGGCACCGCCGGGAGCGGGGCGTCCTCGCAGGAGGGGGGCGCTGCTGCTGCGCGGCGGTGCTGCTGTGGATGCCACGACAGCGGACACCTTCATGGGCCCTGGAAACGACAGGGCCGTTTTGTTACCGGCTCCGTTTTGCCGTTTTGCTGCCGGTTCCGACGCCGTTGTTTTACCGGTTCCGTCGGCGTTGTTTGACCGGTTCCGGCTCCGGTTCCAGTCCTGGAGCAGTTTTTTTGCCGTTTCCGGTCGCCGTGTTTTTGCCGTTTCCATTTTCAAGGGACATGTTTTTGGGGAAGCGGTAAAAAACGGCCCTGCCGTTTCCGGGGCCCACAAAAGCGGACACCTCAACAATCCGATCCTTGAATCAACCACTTGACTTCCCCCCCCCCCTTTTCCGGTGGATTATAACGCCCCCGCACCCTGGAGCGTTATGGCCGCACCGGAAGACCTGGCTGAGCAAGGCTTAGCAAGGCTTAGCTGGGCGTAGCAGGGCTTAGCAGTGCTTGGCAGAGTTTAGCAAGGCTTTGCAAGGCGTGCCAGGGATAAAGGTGCACAAAGATCTGGGCTAGATCCTTGACATTCGTCACGACACCCTCTCTTGGCGTTAGTGGGGCGGCCGCCGATGGTGGATTTTGTTTTCTGTGTGCGGCGGGTGCTAAGTGTATCGTTCGGCTAAAACTGCCCGCCTGGAATATTGAGAAAACTGGGTGCTAAGAATAACCCAGGCGGGTTTCTTAATGCCTTCCTGATACTTGGACCATGTTTGGAGCATGTGTACCTCATGTTTTCACATGTTTCGGAGATGTTTCGGAGATGCTTTTAACATGTTCTAGACATCCGGAGATCACTTGGCAACATGCTTCCTCTCCACAGCGATGATGGGCGTTCTGGGGTGGGAAGCGGGGGGAGGGGGGCGGGGCCTTATTTAACGCCCCCCCCCCGCCGTGAGTTTGGCACTACAGACTGCGGTGCTGAACGCACCGTCGGCTCTCAGGGAGAGGCGACGATCCAGCGCCGACGGCGAAGGCGACAACATCGGGGACGACGTCGAGTACGCCGGCGCCGACCACGGCGAGGACAGCGGCGACCCGACGCCGACGACGACGGCGACCACCCAGATCTTCGACGATCTGGGCGCGAATTATCAGGAGGGTAAAAAACACACAGACACAATTAATCGTCGATCCCCCAGGAAATATAGGAAAATAGGGGAAGCGGGGGGAAGACAAAAACCCAGAAAATCTAAGAACATATGGGGGATATTATTATTTGTGTGTATTTACTTGTGTCCAGGGGCCCCTTCAAATTAGTGGGGGGGCGATACATGGGGAAGTGGGACGAAGAAGAAAGAGGTGCCTTTTTCGGGCCACTTTCTGCAGCCCGCACTGCCCACCCCACGTATCGCCCCCCCCCCCCCCCAAGTACGCGCTCCCCGACGACGACGTGCTCTTCCCGATCCGGGCGCTCTTCCTCGGCGTCGGGGCCCCGGGTGCGGCACACTGCGCCCGAGGGGGAAGGGGTCCGAAGCCCCGGGGCCGCGAAGGCGAGCACGAGCACACACCGGAGGTCTGCCGGCCGCGGCGGCGTGCCGGCGGCGACGGCGACCACGTCGGCGAGGCCACCGAGGACGGCGGCGGCGAGCTGCCCCGCCGGCCGGGCGAGGAGTGCTGTGGTCTTGCGCGGTCCTCGGGGAGAGGCGTGAGGCTCGGGTCCGGGGGGGCTCGGGTTGGCCCGGCGGGGCCTTCACGAGGAGGACGAGACCCAGGCACGAAGTGGGCGCGAACTCCCGCTGCAGGCATCCCGCGACAGCTGGGCCGTCAAGATCCAAGACGCGCTCGTCAAAAGACGTCGGGGAGCCCGAGTTCCCGCGTGCTCGAGTCTTACGCTTCCCCGGGCTGAAAGAGAACGGGAACCTGAGCAACAAACGGAACTGACAAACTACGGCGGGTGCAAACAAACCTTGCATGTGCAGGCGAGGGCTGCACGCAAACGACGCGAGCACCGGCATGAAACTGCCGACAACGAATCAAGGCGTACAAACAAAGCTGACGGCATAACACGGCATAACAGGTGGCACGCGCACAGCCGAAACGACGATGCAACTGGCAGACGGACATGGCGGCTGCACTGCAGGAGGGTCGGGATGACAAGTAGCCCAGGGCGAGCAATGCTCCCAGAAAGCTCCCAGAAGGCGTTGGCACACTTGGCGCCCAGGAGCACGTGGCGCACGAATAACACACTCCACGTGCTTTGTCGTCGCGGCCTCGCGCGCAGCGTCTCGGCGTAAAAATCGAAGAGAGGCGAACGGGAAGCGCGCGCGGCCGGCTCACACCAAACCAAGGACACGGATCCAGCCACAAAGGATCAGCCGTGCCATACACAAGCCCGGGGCAGTGACTGCGGGGGGAAAGGCGCGGGGGAAAAACGGGGAGAAGGGAACGCCAGCACCTGCAGTGCAGGTGGGACAAGACGAGGCGCAGTGGCGGCGGCAAGGGCGAGACTGCGAGGGGCGAGTGACAAGGAAGGACGGGAAGCGCAGGTGCAGCGAGCAGGAACGCGAGGGAGACGGCGGAAACACCGCAGTGGGCGAGCGGAAGACAGGGAGCTGTCGGACAAGAGGCGGTGGCGGACAGGCTGTACACACAGGCCTGCGCAGTGCCTGCTCGTCCTCCTCCTCATCGTGCTGCTGCCGACGCTGCGTGATGCGACCCCTTCTCGACCAGCTCGCCCCTGCGGCGTCCGCCTTCGTGGTGCTCCTGCGCCCCCGCCGCTCTCCTCATCACGGCGGCTCCTAGATTGGGGCCCTGCGGCAGGGGCCCCTGAGGACGCGTGGCCGAAGACAGTGAAGGCTCCACTCGGAACCCCCCGCCTGCTGTCAGCGCCCCACCCCTCAGGGCCCCATCTTGGAACCGCCGATCCTCGGCTGCTGGCTCCTCGCAGACAGCATCCTCCCACCTCTCTCTCTCTCTCTCTTTCTCTCTCTCTCTCTCTCGCTTTCTTTCTGCTCCCAAGCAGGCCCGGGGGGCCTCCGTCACCGCGGGCGCCGCGTCTCTTCCCGGGAGGAAATACATGGTGGTGTTGGATCGGCCGCAGAACCTTGGAAACGGCTCGCAGCCAGCCGGCCCGGACAAGATCCGGATCCTCCTCGACGTCCTCCTCCTCACTACCATGCCATGGTGCTCGTGTCCCAGCGGGGACCAGGTGGCAACAAATTCTCAATCGAGCAAAACCTGCCCAAGCCCAAAGGCAGCCAAAGGGCATGAAACTCGGCGAATGTTTGTTAAGAGCGAGGCCAAGCCAAGGCATGATGGAATGAACCGATTTCCCCAACCCTCGTGTGCTCTTGGGTCCTCGTTTGGTCCGCGCTTTCAAGCCCTCCCTCTCCTCATCGTATTCCTTCTCGGTATCTGCGCCCACCCTGCCACAACACCGACCGACAAGGGCTGGATCCGTGTGGCTCCGCCCTGCCCGTCAGAAAAAAAAACAGACATGCACAATCAACGTGGTCCGTTCCAGCACGGGCCTCACGCCGTCCATGTTGGAAAATGAGTGGCACTAGTAGGGGGCCACCTGCGAACCCTACCCCTACCCCCCACGATCTCTGAGGGGGAGGGGGTGGGGTGCACTTCGCTCGGGAGCTCCCGCACGAAGTGAACCCCACCCTCCCCCTCAGAAATCGTGGGGGGTAGGGGTAGGGTTCGCACGTGGCCCCCCAAAATAGTGGCAGTGGGCGCGCGTCCCGCGCGAAGGGCCGAAATGTAGTTTTCGCTTCGGCCACGCTTCGGCAAGCTGAGCGCTCCCCCGCTCGGGCGCGGCGCACACGTCCCGTCGCGACAGGGGCGAGACTGCGGGCCTCGCCTCGCCGCGACGCGCGGATCTCGCCCGAGAGTGACGCCCCCCCCCGCCTCGACGCGCCGCGTCGCTCGGCGCTCGCCCCGTCTTTTGGGGGCCGCGGGGGTGGGCGACGTGTCGACCTCGCCCGCTCCGCGTGCGCACGTCGCGACGTGGAAGGGGCACTCCAGCGCGGGCGCGGTGCGTTGCTCGTCCGCCGGAGCGCATAAAAAGCGGCATCGGAGACGGAAGCGGGGCCGCGCGAGGGCGGGCCAGATGCCGACCTCGCCCAAGGCGCCGCGCGTAGCTTGTACGCGGGTGTGGCAGTGCTGTGTCAGCGCGGCGCGTGCTTCGTCCCTGCCGCGCCCCTGGGAGGCGTTGCCGCTCCCGCCCCGGCGCGGCCCGCGTACTGTTCTCTCTGCGTATGGTATTCGGGAACCGGGCCGCGCGCGAGGGCCTTTCGTTGTGGACGCCTTGACAATGGACACTCTAACAGTCCTATCATTCCATTAAGGATGTGCCTAAACTGTGTAAACCATGCTCTAAACATGTGTCAAACATGTTTTGCTACAGATCTACCACATGTTTGAAGCACCTGGTCGACACCTGGAAAGTATTTGGCAGCATGCTCCCTCTCCATGAATCGACTTCCACAGGCCTTTTGATTGCGAGGTGTGCGCGTGCTCCAGTCCCAGCATCACGTTGGGCCACAAGTTGCTGGGCGAGGGACGGAGGGCGGGCGTAGGCGGGGCCCTCTGCCTCGCTTGACCTGGCGAACGTGATACTAACCAACACAATCGGACTCGATTGGGCAGGCTTCTCCTCCCTATGATCCTCCTGTCCCAGACCGTCCCGTTGAGTTCAACGTGTACGTTTCGGCACGTCCCTCAAACGGACCGTACGTGCCCCATGGTGGAATCCACCTACGGCCTCAGTGGAAGAGTTCGCTTGCGTCCCCCTGCCCATTCGCGCACATCCCTCACGCCGATCGTGCTCCATAGGGAGCTCCACTTACGGCCCCAGTCGAATCTTTCGCATGCTTCTCCTGTTCCATTTCGGCACGCCCTCCGAGCGGATCGTGCCCCGCAAGGAACTCCACATGCGGCCCGAGTGGATGGGTTGTTCGCATGCGTCCCCCCGCCCAGTTAGGCATACCCTTCACGAGGATCGTGCCCGAGAGAGGGCTCCTCCAGCGACCCCAGCGGGCGCTTTCGCATGCAAGCCTGCGCCCACGGACAGTGCCCCGCGTGAGCTCCGCCGCGGGGTCTCCCGCTGTCGGTGCTGCTTGGCAGGATCCGCCGTCAGATCCAACGCGCCCAGCGTCACGAGTCATGATCCCAGACAGCACGGCGAAACAAACCCGACGAGAAAGTCCAGGACCTGTGCAGGTGCCTCGAGGACTGGCAGGGACCCCTTCAACAGAACGCCTTACTGAAAGGCTGCCGAGTGCACTCAACAGGTGTGCGCGGCACTGCATTCCGAGTACACCCAGGCGGTATAAGTGCTACAGCTGACCGACGCCCAAAAACCCCAAAACTGCCACGCAAATGAAATAGCCCGTGAGACACACTTCGAGTAAGGAAGCCTACACTGGACTGCACCAGCACACTGCCAATACCAATGCCGAAGAAACTGGCGCAGGATTTCGCATTCGATGTGTCTGGGTGGGCGTTCTATCAATGCCCGGGTGTGTAGTCGGCGTCCCTCAAGCGGAAGAGGGGAACTTCCCCACCGCCATCGAGCCTGTCCTCAAGCCCAAACTCAGCCCAGATCCTGGCCTGACAGTGGGGATCCAAGATGGAACTCTGGAGAGCGGAAAACAAACCGGCCCCAACAGCTGCAGCGTCGTGGCTTCCTCCCGACGTGAGCCCCTGGAGCTCCCCGCAAGCGGCCCCCGGAGGCCGCAATCGGGACACGCGCCCGTCGGGACACCTGGAGCTCGCACCGGCCTGCGGCCGCGTGCCTCGCTGAAGGCCCTGGAGGGGCCCAGACGCGGCCATCGAGTGGCGGCTCGAGTTTTGTTTGTTTTCTTCCCGAGCGACCCACCCTCCACGGGGGGAGAGTAGCTGTCGAGCCCCGTCCTCGACTGGCGACCCGAGGCCCGAGCTGGGGGCGAAACCCCACGTTGTGATCATCTCTCGGGGGTCGGCGCTCCATCTTTCAGCCGTGGCTCACCGTACCAGCGCCTGGGCAGACCTTTCCCATCGCGCCTGAGACGCAGCCAGGACGAGGATCAAATCGGGCGAGGAAGAATCGAGAGTCTCGGAGATCCGGCGGCTCTGGAGGATGCCTCGGGCGCCGCGGCCTTCTCGGAGCGTTCCTGAAGCGTCTGTGAGCGTTCCGGAACGCTCTGGAGCGGATTTCTCCTCGTCCTAGCTCCGCCCGAGTGCCAGCCGCAGCTGAGAGCTGACCCCGACAGATCGAGGCGGCCTGGGCGCCGGACTCGTCGATCTTGCCCCTCCGCAGCTCGCAGAGGCGCCGGCTAACCGCGCCCTCCGCGTCCTCATACCAGGCCTGCCACACTATCTCTCTCTCTCTCTCTCTCTTTCGCAGAAGGCATCTATACACCACCACCGTGCCAAGGCAGGGCCATGCCATCCTGGGGCCCAGAATGGCCCTGGCCTGGCACGGTGGTGGTGTATAGATGCCTTCGTCGGATCTCTCTCTCGCGTCCACACGCAGCTGTGGTCGTGCAGGCAAGGCTGGCCCGTGGGGCGCGGGCTCAGGAGACCGCAGAGGGTGCGGGCCCCAAGAGCGTGCACAGCCACCCCCACGTCGACTCCTCCTCCCTCCTCTGCCCCTCCTGTCCCTGTCCTCCTTCCTGGGCGAGGGACGGGGGTGTGAGTAGGGGAACAAAAAGTGACATAACATAAAAACTCGGAGGTCCACGCGGATTTCTCGGATCGGCGCTGGACCCCCCTTCCCTGGCGCACGGAGCGCGCCAGGTGCGGCGCCGGAGGCGCCGCCGGAGGGCCCCAGCGCCGATCCGAGAAATCCGCGCAGACCTCCGACTTGTTATGTTTATGCCACCTTTTGTTCCCCTAGTGATGGAGGCGGTGGTGGTGGTGGTGTGCATGTCTGGGCCCCGCAGAAGGGGGGGGAGGAGGAGGAGGAGGAGGAGGAGGAGGAGGAGGAGGAGGAGGAGGAGGAGGAGGAGGAGGAGGAGGAGAAGAGGAGAGGAGGGAGGAGGAGGAGGAGAGGAGGAGGGAGGAGGAGGAGGAGGAGAAGTAGGAGGAGGAGGAGGAGGGGGGAGGAGGAGGGAGGCGGAGGAGGCGGAGGAGGAGGCGGGGGAGGAGGAGGAGGAGGAGGAGGAGGAGGAGGAGGAGGAGGAGGAGGAGGAGGAGGAGGAGGAGGAGGAGGAGGAGTGGGCCCCTGCTTCGGACCCGCAGGCCCTAGGAGGAACGTGTCGTCTGTGGGCGCGGGCCCGGAGGCGCCCCGCCGGCACCGGCCTGTTCGCGCTCTGGCTCTGCCTCCCCCCCCCCCTACAATGGCTCAAGATGGCATGCCATTGCGAGCGCAGCGTGGATACTGTTAGTCGTTAGTCCGCGGCCAGTTCCCACCACTTCGCAGCCACACTCAGGGACGAGCTGCCGCCCACTCCTGCTGATTGTTCTGGCGTTGCAGGCCGCCTCACATATCGCTCTGAGCCTCGCGCCGAGCGTCCATATCGTCTCGCGCCTCGGGCCCGGCATCCATACCCTCGCATCGAGCTCTGTGTCGTGCATCCATATCGCCCCATCGTGTGCCGCCCCGCGCCAGTCAACAAGAATCAGTCAAGTACGCAGTGGTTCCGTAGTGGACCTGGCCAGTGGCGAATCGCCGAACAGTGAAATCCAAACCGAACTTCCCCGAACAAATTCCGGGCCCATCCGAGTGTTTTCCCAACGAGATCCGCTCTGCGATGTTGGCGCCATGACAGACCCCCTCGCGTTGTGAAACAATCACGACAATAATTGTTGTTGCTATCTGCGGCGTCTCGGTGCCCTTCCAGGGCCTCGGGACCGTCAGCAAACGATGCAGGATGAAGAGCCGGCCCTGGGGAAGGGGTCCGGACCTCTGGGGGTCGCGTCATGAAAAAAATCATGACGTCGGGGGTCTGGGATTGGACGTTGCTCAGTGGGGGGGCGGTAACTTGGGGGGAGGGGTGAGAAACGTGCGCATGTCGTGCCCTGTGCGGGCCTCAGAGAGCTCCTCGGGAGCGGCCAAGAGGGGGGTGTCCAAGAGGGGGGGGTGCAAATCATGACCGGCGGCATATGCGCGGCCCAGCGGGGGGGCCAGGGACGTAATGAAATAAGAAGATGCGCCATAAAATCTGGGGAAATATCATGGCCCCCGCCATGATATCCACCCCCCCCCTAGTCCTCACCCCCTCCTTTTCCGCCCCCGAGCTCCTGCAGGGCCCCTAGGGTGCGTGAGCAGCGCACCTTGTGGACACCCCCCCTCTATTGTCGCCACCCCCCTCCGCAGCGCCCGACCCGAGGCCGAGCCCCCGAGCTCGGGACCCGCACCGCCCGCTGGCCCAAGAGCCGAGCCGCCCCCGAGCCGGGACCCGCAGCCCCTGTGGAGCGCGCGAGCGTGGAGGGAAAGGGGGCCAGGACTTGGAGGTCGCTTGGGGGGCAGCGTTGTTTCCAAGGCCAGATCCCAATACGCTCAGCCGGCGCGCTTGAGCCGGGGAGCCGGTTCAGCGAGCTGAGCCAGGGCCGCGACCAAAACTGAAGGCTGAAGGCGGAAAGGTCGGCGTCGGTCTTGGCCACCGTCCACACTGGCCATCGCCAACTCGTGGATCATCCTCGCGAATCGGCGACGGCCAGCATGGACCATGGCACTACGACCAAAGCTGGCGCCGACAAGGTCCCGCGACATCCTGGCCACGGTCATACCGTGCTAGGCATGCGATGCCCCGATCGTTTCAATGATAATGAGGCGTCCATGGAAGTCCAGACCCTTTCCCCAGGACCAGCTTTTCATCCTGAATTATTGTGACGGTCCCCGGGCCCGGCGATGGGCCCCCGGGGACGAAAACAGAGAAAATCCCCCGGTCCTGATTTTCTGTTCAACAAGATCCCGCGACACCCTGGCCACGGTCATGCCTTGCACCGGGGGAAACCAAGAGATTCCAATACCGCTACTCCCCGGACCTCTCCTGGGGCGCTTCCTGACCAGGACTTCGGGGCGAATCCAGCGGTGGCGACGACGGCCTCCGCTGGAGGAGGAGGAGGAGGAGGAGGAGGAGGAGGAGGAGGAGGAGGAGGAGGAGGAGGAGGAGGAGGAGGAGGAGGAGGGAGGAGGAGGAGGAGGAGGAGGAGGAGGAGGAGGAGGAGGGAGGAGGAGGAGGAGGAGGAGGCCGAAGCAGAGCACAACGGGCGCAGGGCAGAGGTATGTGGGCACCTCTCCCTGCGAAGGGCGGGCGCGCCTGGACGTACTCGGCGTGGGGCCGCAGCGGGCAGCCGTGGTGCACCCACAGGAAGCACCCCGGCACGCGCGGCAGCTCGGGCACCGCCAGCCCGGCGGCCCCGAGCAGCACCCCGCCGGCCTGGCGAGCGCGGCGGCGGCCGCGCGCGGGCGCGCGAGGGCAGCTGGCGTCGGGTCGGGCACCTCCTCCTAATGCGGGATGACGATTAATAAACAAAAATAGGAGAGAACGATTCAAAACATAGTTTTCTGCTATTTCTGCATAATTTTCTGACTGGAGGAGAATGATTCAAAACATAGTTTTCCAGACCGCGGCCGGGTTTTTCTCATCGTCATCCGGGGCGCCGCCGCGTGAACACGACCCCCGGTCATTTATGAATCGTCATCCTCCATTACAGGGGCTTCTTGGAAGAGAATCAAGCACAGTCAAACAAGATTCGACACATCGCCCCCAGACGATCATTTCTGACCATCTGTCTGCAGATTCCTCCTGCAGAGGGAAGCGCCCGACTGAGAGCCAACGGCGAGCGTCAGCGAAGGGGCTCAGGAGCTCGAAGGCGGCGAGGCCGACGACGGGGGCGACCACGCCGCAGGATCCGACGGCCCCAACCACAACCAAAAAACGGCTGCGGGGCTTGGCCAGTTCTCGCTCGGGGCCGACGACGCAGGACGAGAAGCCGGCCCCAGGGAAGTGGTCGAGACCTCCGGGGCCGACGTGCCAACAAAAAACTTGGAGCGGTCAGATGTCTGGGACGACGAGTGCCTCGGGGCTGGACAGACCCCCCTTCAGCAAGACGTGGTTCAGTGAAAACGCCCTCGGCACAAACCTGGCGGGCGCAAGTCTGGAAACTGACGGCCGCGGCGCCCTCTCGAGAACCGAAAACGGGCAATTCACTAATCGACGTGTCAGGGTAGGAAGTCTGTCCGCCCCCGAGCGCCCAACTCCCTAACGGTGTGCTTGGTTTCCGTCAGGGCGCTGTTCCTTGCTCTCGGCCTCCGGGGCCCCTTGCGGGGCCAAGGGGGCCCTCGGAGACAGGCCTGGGCCGAGAAGCTGGCCCCGGGAAGTGTGGGGCCGCGCACGGGACAAGGACATCGGCGGACGTCTGGGGAGGAGGCAACTCCTGGGGAAGACTCCGCGGGATCGAGCAAGGGCTGTTGACCCCGACTTCGCTCGAAAGGCCACCGGTCGGCCTGTTCGAAGCGGGTTCAGCCCAGGATGGGGCCCGACGTGGCGGGACTCGGCGGGTTCTCGACCACGGATACGCCAGCCTAAGGAGGCGAAGCCTCGTTCCAGGTCGCTCGCCCAACTCGTTCACTCCTCGCCTGATGGCGAGCGATCGAGGGCTTCTCAGAGGGTCCAGTCGAACGTGAAATCGGCAATACATCACCGGTGCATCGGCAGTAAGCCCCCCATAGCAAAACAACGCGGTCCTGGGCGGGTTGATTTTTGGGGGAACTTCCATTGTCTATTGCTGGGACATCTAGAGTCCTTCCAGCCAGCTATCCACTGGCCCTCCTGGCAGCTATCCAGAGCCCACTGAAAGCCCATCCTGGGGTCCTCCGGACAGCTATCTCAGACCTATCCCGGGGCCCTCCGGACAGCCATCGCAGAACCGATAGAGCCCGTCCCGGGGCCCTGTGAACAGCTGTCCAGAGCCTGCAATCGAACCTGGGCCAGAAGAGCATTGTTCAAGAGCATGACACCCAGCCGAGCAAAGCGACCCAAAGTATAACATCACCGAGGGTACCCTTCCGCTGCGTCACGCGATCTTCGCTGCCTAGCCCCACCGGGGGAGCCATCGTGGACGCTCCCTCTTCCACCCAAAAATGCGTTCGGCCGCTCTCAAGCCTTCGGGCGCGCAGCCTACTCCAGATTTCGTAATAAAAGGGAGGGGGTCTGGACCCTCCAAGACAAGCCATTTCAGACCTCCCCCGTGGGAGAACCCTCCAAAACATCGTCCCCAGACCCCCCAGGCCCTCCAAGATAGCCTGGAAGAGACCCCCCCCGAAATGAGACCCCCCTCCCTTCATTACGAAATCTGGAGTAGCCCCCGCAACCCAGGCCCCCCAGCCCCGACGTGTCACCGGAGAACGCGCGAGGGTGCCCGCCTTCTCGCGCCGCCGGCATCGACGAGCGCGTGGCCGCTGACACTCGGGCCGGGCGAAAGGGGGGGATCGCAAAGGGGGGGTTTGAGAATCAGCTCTCGTAGCTGATTCTCCCGGCGCCTCCCGGCGCCAGGAGGCGCCCATGTATCGAGGACTGGGCCCGTCGGTGAGGCAGAAACCAGCTGCATGCAGCAACTTTCGTCACCCCCCCCTGTCCCAATCCCCCCCCGTTCGTCCGGCCCGAGTGCGGCCGCTGAAACCAGCCCCCTGCGCATCGATGCCGAAGAGCATGCAGGGCCCCCGCGCTGCGGACCCGCGGGGCCCGCGGCCTGCTCCGTCGGCCCTGGCCGCGGAACGGTGCAGCCAAGCGCGGCCACGCCCGCCCGCCCCAGACCGACCTCTGCGGCCGCGCCGCACCCGGCCACCGCTTCCCTCCCGCGGCCACGAGCTGCTTCCGAAGAACCATGCGAGGGTGCCCGCCTCCGCGAGGTGCCAGCCACCAGCCTCGGACACCGTGGCCGAAGAGAGATCGAGGGCCCCCCGGCGCCGCGGACGCTCGAGTCCTGCGGCCTACCGTCGGGGCGCTGACCTAAGGAACCCTAAATAATAAGAAACGAGGCCCCTTTTTTCCATTAATTAAACTTCGATTTCCCATCGAAAACGTAAGGAAAACCTGAGGCGAGCTGTGAAACACTTAAGGAACACGGAGCCCCTCCCCAACGAAAAAGGTTCCTTCTTCAGGGCCCCGACTGTACCCCAGCGGCGCCAGCAGCGGGCCGACCGGGCCGCGCGCGGTCGCGCCCGCCCGCAGCAGACTGAACGCTGACGGGCGCGCGGCCCGGCCCCCTGTGCCCTCAGATGTCCCCGAAGAACGCGCGAGGGCGCCCGCCATCGCGCCCCCGGCATCGACGAGCGCGCAGCAGCTGCAGCCACGCCCGGACGCCGAGGCCCGAGAACATGCAGGGCCCCCTCCCGCGCCGCGGACCCGCGAGTCCTACGGCCCACAGCTCCACTTTGAACGCGGCCCGCCCTCAACCCTCGAAACTATTGCAACGTTTGACAACGAACGTGCGTCGTGCAGAGAGCAAAACTCCACTTCGAAAACAACCCGCACTCCATCCTCGAAGATGTTGCAAATGTAAAACTTCAAGATCATACATGCTGAACAATATCAAACGAAACGATCGGAACGCCCTGCCGACACGCCTGGGGGTGCGAGGGTAAAAAAATGATTCCGGCCCCCGTTTTCCTCCCTCTCGCACACCCATCCCTCCTCCGCACTCCTCACCCTCTTGCATCCGCCTCGTTGCCTCCTTCCCTCGTCGTCGCATCACTCGCTCTTCCCACCCTCCCTCCTCCCTCCCTCCCTCCCCCGCCCAGGCCCCCGCCCAACTCTGGGACAGGGGCCAGCTTTGCAGCGAGGGCAGCTTCAGAGCAGCCATCCTCACGGACGTCTCCCGCCCTCTCGGAACCCGCCAGGGAGGCCCCAGGCCGTCTCCTTGCCCCTGGCCCTGCCGACGCAACACCCGGGCCTTGGACAGCATTCGGGCACAGGCCTGGCCCACAGCGCCTCCTGGGAGGAGGAAGAGGAGGAGGAGGAGGAGGAGGAGGAGGAGGAGGAGGAGGAGGAGGAGGAGAGGAGGAGGAGGAAGGAGGAGGAGGAGGAGGAGGAGGAGGAGGAGGAGGAGCAGGAGGAAGAGGAGGAAGAGGAGGAAGAGGAGGAGGAGGAGGAGGAGGAGGAGGAGGTGGAGGAGGAGGAGGAGGAGAAGGAGGAGGAGGAGGATGAGGGGAAGGAGGAGGAGAAGGAACAGGAGGAGGACAAACATAAGAATACTAGCAAACAGCAGTAATAGTACCAGTGATAATAAACATAAAACACTGGTACGACACATAATCCTGACAGGAAGGATGAGAAGAATACGAAACAGAAAACTAAGCGATGTTCCACACTCGCGTAAGAGTGGTGGCCCATCAAGAGGAGAATTGGGAAAACACTGCCGTTGTGTCGTCATGGCTACATTAAAAAAAAGTGCCGACTGATGTCGCTACCGAACCCGATCGGAAGGATGCCAAGGACGCCCTCGAACTGACCAGAAAAAGCCAGAGGCCGTACTATGCTGAGGCTGCGGTTGGGAGCGCGGAAAGCCCATTGACTTTGGAAGTGTCTGAGGCCAGCCTGAAACATAGATTCCCCCCCCATGTTTCCATCTGTCTGCAAAGCCCAAGGGACGCAGCTACAGCGACAACGTCCTCTCAAGGAGGGTCGATCGGTGTCCTGACTTGTCCGTTGTTGTTCCGCCTTGCATGTCTCTCCCCGCGCGAACACGTTTCAAGCTGCTCGGATACGAAATAAAGAGGAGGAGGCGGAGGATGCGGAGAAGGAGGAGGAGGAGGATGGGCACCCTGAGAAAAAAAAAAAGGAAGAGGGCAGGCGGACACGAGCACGACCGAGAAGAGGGTAAATGAGTCAGTCTCTGCCGTAGAGTAATGCAAGTGGTGCGCGGCGATGCGACCAGGTCTGCTTGCGAGGCAGCCGTAGTGCGCGCGCTGGCAGTGGACTTCATTGTTTTGTAAATATGCAGTGCCAGGACGATCCCCCAGACCGTGGTCGGCAAGGACATGGGGCTGGTGGGGCCAGCTGCATACGCTGCGGCAGCGCCCAGCCCCGACGCCGTCAGCGTTGATTGGACGAGGGGGAGACCAGGGAGCCAGAGGAACCTCGAAAGGACGGGGCAAGAGAAATAGTGCGGGAATGAGTCAGGTGCGTCCGTGCATCCGAACGCGCACTTGCGCTGCTGAAGGGTGTGCGTTCTAGCCGTGGTAGTCCAAACTCCGCTGAGGGTCTTGTCTTGAACGTGGCCCAGCGACAGCTCGGGCGCATTTGAGTGCGTCGGCCAGCACCTCCCAGCGCTTCTCTAGCTCCCCAGGTTCCAGGGGCGCTCGTAAGCCCCAGGCGCGGAGGCGCTTGGCAAGCGTGACCGCGAAAGGCGACTTGGAAGTCTGGTCGCGCAGCTT